AGGCACCAACCCCAATGGCATAGGGGGGCAAGTAAACATATTCTAGCTCTCATACTTTGTCATTTTTAGCTCGCAGTCTACTATGAGAGTACTGACTTAAATATCGGAGCGACCTGACCGGGTTAGCCACACCGGGTCCTCTGACATTGATTCCTTGCAGGTCTCTAAAGAACTACAAAGCTCAACAATCAATCCAGCTCGCCACTCTAATCAGCTTGACAACTAATAGGCAGCTCGGCACTCTGGTCATCTCGACACCTAATTGGCAGCTCGGCACTCTGGTCAGCTCGACACCTAATAGGCAGCTCGGCACCTAACCTGCCTAGCTCGGCCCAATCAGCTCGTCACCTAACCTGCCTAGCTCGGCCCAGTCAGTTCGGCACCTAACCTACCCAGCTCGAACCAGTTAACTCGACACCTAATCTGCCCCCAGCTAAGACCAAATGACAATGTACTTAGCACAAAAAAACGATTCATCAATTGGCACCATCTGTGGGAAACGCTACAAAAAGCCAAGTTCTCATCCTCCGTAAGGCTAAGTCCTCTTCTTCCATAAAGCTAAGCTCTCACTTTCTAATTTCCATTTTTTATTAACTCAAAGACTATGCAGGAAGTTGATGGCCAACAGACTAAGCAGCTCTACCAACTTTATTTCAATTCAAATAAAGCCTCATCAGTCATATTCGCGAGGTACCCTCTACAAAGATGAGCTATTTGTGGCTTCCGCGGGAGTGGCGGCCAACAGACTGCATGGATGCCCCTGCCGGTCGAGACTTCCAAGGCTCTCGTGCGAGCTGGTGACCTAAAGTCAGTAGTGCTGCCCCCATAGGTCGAGCTCCTAGTAGCTTCTTGTAGGAGTGGGTAACCGACGTCACTAACGAGGCTGATGCAACGCAGCCGTAGCTCTAAGGTGTCGAGCTGATAAAAGACCTCCGCACCACATAAGACCCAATCGCCTCTTCAGCATGGGTAAAATAAAAAATCAAGGAGAATGGACTACGAGTCGCTCCTAGAGCCTAAGGGCTAAAGTGTCGAACTGGCAAAGACTTCGACACCACATAAGACCAAGTCGCCTCTTCGGCATGGGCAAAATCAAGGGTAAGGAGAGTGGACTGAGTCGCTCCCAGAGCATAAGGAATTGAATCGACGCTTACAAGCTCATCAAATTACTCATTTCAGGCCAAAAGAAGCAATCCACTCCCTTCGCCGAGTTAGTTTCAGCTCGGGAATGGGGGCAAATGATGAGGGCAGATTTGGCCCCCCAATGATATTGTGACACATTGTTACGATTTGACACAGGCTTAGCCTTGCCTACGCTTGGCAGGTTTACGTTAGGGACATCACCGTCATTTTCGCCTGTAAGATTTTTGGGAGAATTGATGTTATCTTCAGACAGACCACCAAAAGCTTAACCTACTCTTTGAGGAGGGGTGGTCGACCTCCTTGGGTGCCTAACCTTGGCACTCCTAGACCATCATCCCCTTGTGGGGCAGCCCTGGTTAACGGCTAGCATGGCTACCAGGTTCCTCATGGGCGCACACATGCTCATGGGGACAATGTTGGACCGGCACTGCGCTGCCGACACTCAAGGGAGGCTTGGCATGCGGGCTTGGCTCAAGCATGACCCTTCACCACGCCAGCCCCTTGCCCAAGTTGAGTGAGCTACCCCGTTGCCTCTAACGCACAGGTGTGTTCCGGCCCAAGCGGTTGCCTATCATCATGGCACACAGGTGCCTGTCATCATCGGCATATAGGAGACCCCTCACATCGGTACCAAGTCACCTCCTCGGCGCATAATCGCCTTACATTATGGTTGTCCTCCTTTAGCACGTAAGTGGCGCCTCCCATGGACCGGTCTGAGCCAGCCGAGTGCCTCGGCCATTGGACTTGAGGTCATGATCTAGTGCTACTAACCTTGAGGGAGCCATCTCATCGGGCAATTCCTAGCCTCTAAGCACATAAAGGCTTGTCCTGGGCTACCTTGGCCTGGACACCGCACAGGTTTCTTCCGCAGTAGAACTACCCCGTGACAATATGGCACCTCGAAACAACTAGGCGACACCCAAAACCACTTAGGCAACAACTTGCCATAGCCATGTTGGTGGTGTTCCACCTGGTGGCCTGGCCCAGGCACCGACCTGGCAGCCTAGCCCAGGCGTGAACTGGCGACCTGGCCCAAGCGCGAACTGGCGGCCTGGCCTAGGCGCGACCTGACAGCCAGGCCCAGGCGCCGAACTAGCAAACTGGCACAGGTGCCGACCTGGCAACCTGCAAAACGTGCTCGCCGACAAATTCGGCATGCATATCCAGACGTGCTCGCCAACAAATTCTGCATGCATATCCAAACACTCCCACGATCCTTAGAAGTTGGCCACGTGTCGAACGATCCAGAGGGTGGTCAACGTGCATGGTAGTTACCTCAGGGAATCTCGGACCACTTAGACGACTTCTCAGAAATCTCAGACGCGGTGCGTGAAGCCCACGCCAAACTATGCCTACCAACCTCAATGGCATAGGAGGCAAGTAAGCATATTCTAACTCTCATACTTTGTCATTTTTAGCTCGCAGTCTACTATGAGAGTACTGACTTAAGCATCGGAGCGACCTCGTCAGGTTAGCCACCCCGGATCCTCTGACATTGATTCCTTGCAGGTCTCTAAAGAACTACGAAGCTCAACAATCAATCCAGCTCGCCACTCTAGTCAGCTCGTCACCTAACCTGGTCAGCACGTCACCTAACCTGCCAGGCTCGGCCCAGTCAGCTCGTCACCTAACTTGCCTAGCTCGGCCTAGTCAGTTCGGCACCTAACGTGCCCAGCTCAAACCAGTTAACTCGGCACCTAATCTACCCCCAGCTCAGACCAAATGACGAGGTACTTAGCACAAAAAATTGATTCATCAATTGGCGCCGTTTGTGGGAAACACTACAAAAGCTAAGTTCTCATCCTCCGAAACGCTAAGTCCTCTTCTTCTAAAAAACTAAGTTCTCACCTTTTATACACTAAAAACTCTCACTTTCTAATTTTCATTTTTTATGAACTCAAAGACTATGCAGGAAGTTGATGGCCAATAGACTAAAAAGCTCTACCAACTTTATTTCAACTCGGATAAAGCCTCATCAGTCCTCTTCGCGAGGTACCCTCTATAAATATGAGCTCTTTGTGGCTTCCGCGGGAGTAGGCGGCCAACAGACTGCATGGACGCCTTTTCCGGTCGAGCCTTCCAAGGCTCCCGTGCGAGCTGGTGACCTAAACTCAGTAGTGCTGCCCCCGTAGGTCGAGCTCCTAGTAACTTCTTGTAGGAGTGGGTAACCGACGTCACTAACGAGGTTGATGCAGCGCAGCCGTAGCTCTAAGGTGTCGAGCTGATAAAAGACCTCGGCACCTCATAAGACCCAATCGCCTCTTCGGCATGGGCAAAATCAAATATCAAGGAGAGTGGACTACGAGTCGCTCCTAGAGCCTAAGGGCTAAAGTGCCGAACTGGCACAGACTTCGGCACCACATAAGACCAAGTCGCCTCTTCGGCATGGGCAAAATCAAGGGCAAGGAGAGTGGACTGCGAGTCGCTCCTAGAGGAATTGAATCGATGCTTACGAGCTCATCAAATTACTCATTTCAGGCCAAAAGGAGCAATTTACTTCCTTCACTGAGTTACTTTCAGCTCGGGAGTGGGGGCAAATGATGAGAGCGGATTTGGCTCTCCAATGATATTGTGACACATGGCACCTCGAAACAACTAGGCGACACCCGGAACCACTTAGGCAACAACTTGCCTTAGCCATGTTGATGGTGTTCCACCTGGCGCGACCTAGCGGCCTGACCCAGGCACCGAACTAGCGGCCTGGCACAAGTGCTGACTTGGCAACCTGCAAGACGTGCTCGCCGACAAATTCGGCATGCATATCCAAACACTCCCACGATCCTTGGAAGTTGACCCACGTGCCGAACGATCCGGAGGTTGGTCAACGTGCATGGCGGTTACCTTAGGGAATCTCGGACCACTTAGACGATTTCTCAGAAATCTCGGATGTGGTACGTGAAGCCCACACCAAACTATGCCTATATAAAGGCACCAACCCTAATGGCATAGGGGAGGCAAGTAAACATATTCCAGCTCTCATACTTTGTCATTTTTAGCTCACAATCTTCTATGAGAATACTAACTTAAGCATCGGAGCGACCTCGCCGGATTAGCCACCCCGAGTCCTCTGACATTGATTCCTTGCATGTCTCTAAAGAACTACGAAGCTCAACAATCAATCCAACTCGCCACCAGCCAGTTCGGCACTCTAGTCAGCTCGACACCTAATAGGCAGCTCGACACTCTGGTCAGCTCGGTCCTCTGGTCAGCTCGGCACTCTAGTCAGCTCGGCACCTAATAGGCAGCTCGACCCTCTGGTCAGCTCGACAACTAATAGGCAGCTTAGCACTCTGGTCAGCTCGACACCTAATAGGCAGATCGGCACTCTGGTCAGCTTGTCACCTAACTTACCTAGCTCGGCACCTAACCTGCCTAGCTCGGCCCAGTCAGTTCAACACCTAACCTGCCCAGCTCAGCCCAGTTAACTCGGCACCTAATCTGCCCCCAGCTCAAACCAAATGACGAGGTACTTAGCACAAAAAATTGATACATCACCAAAAATTGATTCATCAAAAACATTAATTATGTAAATATGTTCTAACTTCTAATGCAAACATTCTTTTTATCTTCTTTTGACCAGAAGTATACTAAACTCGAGCATGATGGGCACTAAAATCAGAAATAAATCGTCCCACACCTTAACCCCATGGACAATGCATGTTATGCAGCATTTCTCTTAAAACTTGTAGTAAATGCTATTCTCTCAAAGCATCATTTTTTCCATTTTTCTGCTTTCTTTCTTCTAAATTATTGAGTCAATTTTATTTTAAACTCGGATTATTGCTACCCCTTTTTTTGGTCATAAACTAAGAACTAACTTTCTAGCAATGGTGATGACAAGCTAACACATTCTGACATGCCGTGAACTAATATCTCCAGCCCTGGTTCCATATGCTGAGAAGTACTATAAAAACATAAAGATAGAGTATGAAAATTCTAAAACTAAATGTTCTTATAAGAAGACCTTACAAGTTACTTCCAGTGGATGATAATTATTGTCAATCAAAGATCTCAAATGCAATGCAACTTGGTTCTTTCTTTCTGAAACTCATTCTGTGGAACTAGAATTTCAAGTTAAGAACCTTACCCAATGGCTGATGGGTAACAGTAACCTTTTCACACTTGGAAGGATTAATTTGTTTGGGAGAGGATTCATCACCAAGTGCAGCTGCAGCAGCTCTTCTTTGTTTCTGCTCTCTCCACTTCCTTAATTGATCCTCTACTGCCACTTTAGCTTTTTCAGCTAGTTCAGCCCTGCTTACAGCCTTCTCTGCCACAGACCTAAGCTCCTTAATTTCTGCTATTGCAGCTTCAAGTTCGTTCTCCAAGGCATCTACTTCAGAACCAGTTTTGGATACTATTACATGTGATGCATCTTCAGGGGGTGATAATATAAGCTGGTCCACTTGCTCGGGCTTCCTGATCAAGGCCTTACTCTCATTCATTGGAACTGTGATTTGAGTATCAATATTATTTCCTTTATCTTCTTTGATTTCTGATTCCAATGGAAATCTTAGACATGGAGAAGGCTCAGCAAATTGAAGTTTGACACTGGCAGAGTTTCCGGTTTCTTCACCCACTTCTACTATACGCCTCAGCTTTTTTGTTTCCTTCTTGGCTTCCTCTGCTTCTATTGCTAGCTGTTGCACAGCAAGATAAAACCCTGATTTAATGCTCTTAGTCATTGCTTCAGCTGCCTCTGCTGCAGCAATCTTTGATCTGCCTTTATGAAGTTCAGATTTTAGCATTGCAATCTCAACCTGAGCTTCACGCTCTCTTACTCTGGTCTCTTCCATCTCACTTTCTGCCCTTTGAATCTCACCTTTAAGCATTTCAATTTCATGATTCAGATAGTGAACCTCTTCTCTTGCAATTTTAAGTTCTAACTCTAATTGGCTTAGCTTTGTTTCCATTGATTCGACATAGATTTCTTGGTCAGAGTTTTCTCTTCCTACCATCTCCCTCCCTGATTTTATCTGGTTTAAATCATTAGTTGCAACAGAAGCAACTTTTGTAAATGAGCTATGGAACTCTTTAGGTTGTTTCAGATCCAACTGTAATGAATCAATGAATTGGGACTTCACCAAGAGTTGATTCTCCAAATCTGTCGCAGCGTATGCTTGTATTCTCATCTTTTCCAATGGTTCATGTACTTGAACTGCTGCTTCCATAGCCATCTGTATCTTTGCATCCTTGTCTGAATTGATTGTGGATTTCTCTTTCGCTACTTCAACTGCTACCAGTTTCAAATGCAGAATAGCTTTGTTTAGCTCTGCTATGTGCTTCAGAAGCTTCTCATTCTTTTCCTTCTCCATGTTAATGGAGGTTTCCATTAGTTTTGCTTGTTCAATGGCAGAAAGCTTCAATTCCTTAGCAGCAGCAAGCTCTGCTTTTGTATTCAGCCACTCTTCTTCAACAGCCTTCAGTTTACTTACCGCATCTAGAAGTTGCTCTTGGTCCTTCTCAGTTTCCAAGAGCTGATCCGAAATCTTGTTTATCTTGTATTCAAGTTCATCTCTTTGGATCCTAGTTTGTCTGCATTCTTCAAAGTACTTGTCCCTATCAGCCTCAGAGTTCTTCAGTTGGATTGACAACTCATCGACTGTCTTTTGGTAGAGTTCCAGCTTGAGAAGGGTTTGCATGTAAGCAGATTCTTTTACTTCCAGCTGCACCTTATAGTTGGCCAAGTATTTGAGCATAAGGTCAAGTTCTTTCCCCTTCCCCACCTCCTTGCAATGGAAATAAGAAAGGATCTTAGGCATCTACATTTACCCATAAGGGAATAGAAAATTCTATAATCATGTTATTGTAGATTAATTAAGTATGCAATAACAGAGGATCTAGTCTACTCCATGAACATTACATACGCAAAATTACAGTTTAGACAGTAACAACCATATATCATCTTCAGAGTACCAACTATCTGTATAATTTTAAGTCTCTTACCTCACTTCCAGTTGACACATTCTTTCTGTGGTCATTATTTTTCTCCTCGAACAAGGAAAGGGAAGCTTGGACTGATTCGAATGGTTTGGTGTCAATCTCACCCATATCTTCCTCAGAGATGATATGGAATGACTGCCCATGAAGACCAAAAGGATTTTTAGGAAATCAAAGAAGTAGAAACACATAAAAGTTATATTTAACAGACAATCCTGGTCAAAAAACAACTTTTCAGATAATAGAGACAGGAAAGATGACTTCATGACTTTCAACATTAATTGTGAACAAGGTCTGAGATGATAAAATATCTCAGCAGCAAACACAGTATGTGTTAGCTTGTATACAAAGAGAAGAGGAAGAACCATAACAAAAGAAGCATTAAATCTCCTATGCCATGTGGAGAGTGGGAACTAAAAACAAAAGTTCTATTTTCTAATATACTGAAGAGACCAAATATTTAAACTCAAATTCCAATGTTGGATCAATATCAATTATAAGCTTCTGAAGTTCCAATGTCAGTTTAGCATTTGCAATTCATAACACTGAAGGAGATCCATCCTCATGTAAAATGAATGACTTATATGTCAAGACAACCCACCAAAACAATAGTAGCTATTAGTAATAAGGTACCAGTTTTACTACACTGACACAAGAAATTTAATATAGTGATGTATGTCTATCGCCATTAAGCAGAGAATTAAATGTAACTGATAATATTTAATAGGAAGACTCTCAGCCCCAACCCCAGAACACATATAGACATTTAGTTGTTCGCCACCTCCACTCCAAAATAAAACTAAATTATATTAGATAAAAAAACTAAGAATACCTATTATCTTAATCAATTAAGTAGTTTTTATCAATACCACTATATTAAAAATCAAAACGAAGAGTACACCAGTACAAAAGAAGAGCCAACACATAATATCCAAAAAAAAAAAGAAAAGAAATGGCTCAATAACATTCAAATCACCAAGGAACCACAAATCCATACATCATAACACTATTGTAATGTACTCCACAACAGAATCTCAAAAAGGCAGCAAACAATCCCAATAAACTCCACCAAGATATCAATACTAAAAGAGTCCCTAATTGAAACCAACTAATGAAGGTTTTAAGTCCGACACAGAGTGCAAAAATCCTGCAAAACAACAAGGAACAACAATTACAAAATAGGAATCATCTACTTAGTCAACAACTAAACTATACCTGAAAGAAAGAAAGTAAAAGCATCAATAGAGCATCCCCAGTATGAAAACCGAGAAACTCCACATCAATGCTAACCAGCAAGCATCTAGGGAGGCTTGGCAGTCACACTACTTGGATGTGATTAAGAGAGTTATAGATTTCAAAATTAAAAATAATAATAAAAAAATAAACCATAACTTGTATGTTTATATGAAGAACTATTAGTTTTGGCTATATTGAGATTATTAAATTAAAGATTTGTTAGTTTTTTTAATATATTTGGATGGATTGATTTCAAAAGTCGTGGGTCATCACTTGGTGTAATGGTAAAATCTTGGGCTAACAAACATGAGAATGTGGGTTTGAGTCTACAAGAAGCTACTTTGTGCAAAAAAAATGCCAAAAGTCACTTCCAAAACCGGTAAACCTCTCCGGGACCTCAGATAGAGTTAGGACCAATATTGGGTAATGACCTCTTCAATTGATTTTCAAAAGTAATTATACCTTTAGTAATATATGTGAAGTTGTGATGGGTCAAATTCTAGTCTTTAGAAGTTCTTTAGGAGTTTGAGTGTATTTTGAAACATTACAGTTAGATGTAATTTTCTTTATGAATAGCAACAGTTACAAAGTATTTCTAGGAGTATTAAACAATTAGGAAAAGGTTATGTGTAAGATGGACACCAAAGAAGAAGCTTAGAGATCAACCCTAAGCTACAAAAAATTTACACCCATACAAGACGTTCCATGGTATGTGTATCCAGCATACATGCCATCTCAATTAACTTCAATCTTGCCAAACCATCTGTTAGACTGCTACTGCATTATTTTATCAGTACTAGTAATCATAGCACTTTACTGGAATTGTAATAAAATAAGCATAGAGCCCTTTGCTTAGGCAAATGGATACCATTTGTAACTAACAAATTGAATTGAATTCGAATATGGGTATATCCAAATCTGATGATTCCGATCTGATAAGAATCCAAGAGATTCAAACCACTATCTAGGGATGGCAATTTCCAAGTTCCAACCTATCCGGTGAGTACCCACCCTTACTCATCCAGATGGAGTGGGGTGTTCTTTTTGAAAAAAAAATAAGTTGGACTTTGGGACGGGGATGACCAGACGAGTTTTGGGATTTTACAACCCATACAGGTATGGGTACAATATTAAGCTAAACCTGACCCTCCCCGACCTGTCTATCAAATTTACACTAAAATGCCCCAGCTGCTTATAATTAAATTACCAATATGAACTTATGTTTTACGTATTGAATTTAATAATGTTTTGAATCTTATGTAATGATAATTGATAGCTTATGTGTTTTCTACATGTTTCAATAAAATAATTGGAAATTTCGATGTTGTTTGTTCATGTTATTTTGCTTGTTTATTTCTTATATATAACAGGAAACTAGATGCAGGTTTTGGACCCAACCCACCCCATCCTCAAATGCAGGGAGGGTAGGTAGGGTGGAGGGTTTAGATTTTGAAAATCCAACCTGCTATGGATTTCCAGGAGAGTATGGGTTGGGAGGTTTGGCAAGGTGGAGAGGGTCCATAATTTACAAAACCCTCCCCAAACCCACCCCATTGCCATCCCTACTGATATCCAATAGATATGCAAAACATGTGTTGAAATTCAACTTGTTTTCATATCAGGATTTCAGATTTGAATCCAATTTCATTGAAGTATTGGTAAATCTATATTAAATAAGCATAAGTTTACAAAATTAAATATAAAACAAAAAATACATTCTAAATGGAAAAATAAAATTTTAATTCTAAATCCCACTTAATTCTAAAGAATTTTAATACTAAAAAATGATCCAATAATTAAGCGGAGTATAATTTCATATTTGATTGGACCCGAATATGGCTAAAGGGATATCCGATAACGAATTGCATTTAGATTTCAATTGGAATAAAATCCAATCCATTTGTAGCCCTAGTTATACCAAGCATTTTCTGGAAAAATCTTAAAAGGAAAATGATATTCAATTACAAAAGGTGAGGCAAGAGCTGCATCGTCTAGTATGTGTAAACTCTTGAACAGAGAGGTGTCAAAGTTCCTAACCTAAACTCGCATAGAGACGTGTCTAAGTTATTCGTTGTGCGAGAGGAGGGGGTCGGGGGTTACCTACAAATCAAGGAAGAAGACTTCTTAAAGAAGTGAGGGAGAGGAAAAGGGGCAAATTGGTTGCATTGCATTGGGTGGCCTGCTTTTCCAGACACAACCTTCGAGGTGGCAACAAAGGTAGGCAGTAGAAAGCAAACGAAAAAAAAAATCTCTGAATTAGTTAAGAAACACAAAGAAACCAACGAAAATGAGAGAAAATTTTCAGTTTCTAACATTTGAGTTTGGAAAAGGATTCCCCTTCGAGAATGAAAACCAAAGCCGCTGATTGTGCAACCAAACATGTTAAGAACGTGATGATACCCAAACTCAATTTAATGTACGAAAAAAATACCAAAGCTACCAAACTTGGAACTAAGTTTCACTTACTTGAAGTGGGGGAGAAGTCAAAATTCCCAATAAAATGAGGAATAAACCCGAAGATCCAATCTGCAACAAGACCAGCTCAAAAGGAAGTCGTCATCAATATGCATTGACAGAGAAAAATTGTGGAAAGCGAAAACGAGGATAGAAACCACACAAGTAAGAAACCTGAACGCGATAAAAGCATAGCCTCCCGCGAACTTGAGAACGAAGGAGGCAATGAAGTTAATATCCCCAACAACAAGGTAGATCGAAAATTCATAATCATCGAATACATGATCGTCCTTTTCCTTTTTCACTACGCTTGAAGACGTGTATTCGTCCGAATCGAAGAATCCAGGAAGAGTTGCAGACAATGCTCAGCCTAGCCACAGCCGTTGAGAGAATCGACCGAATTTGGTATCTACGATTATCTCTTTCACTCCAACTGCAGCTGTTCGTTTTTCCGTATTTACGCGGGTTCTTGGCTCTTGCTTGCTTGCTTAGTGAAGGGGTTGTTCAGTAGTGTTCACCGCCTGACAGTGACGCGTGCAATGCACGGGTTTGTGTCCTTTCGGTAAGTTACTTACACACACAGCCCCGATGTTTTCGGTAAGTACAAAATCCTCCCTCGGAAAATTGCCAAAGACGTCTAGAACTTTTTAAAAATCTATTTTACCCCTATATATACATGGATTCCACCTCCCACAGACCACAGTTTCACCGATTACTTCGCAAAAATTCTAAAAGATTATTCCACAAATTCACACAGACAATAGGGACTGTTTGGACAGAAGGCTTTGCACGGTTAGTGGTACTACTTGCTGTAGCATCATCCACCAAAGTCAATTTTGGGTTGGGTCCCCAAGAATTAGAGATTAGCTGCTTCGATTCAATAAACTCCTTGGAACAAAGCCTTGTCAGTCAAGGGAAAACATGATAGACAGAGAAAAAAAGAATGGTGTTCTGCTGTTCTTTTGTACCTGTAACACAGTATCCTCTTGGAAAAGTCATGTAAATGGTCCTCTGGCGTTTCTGTAACAAAATCATTCTTTATATGCAGAGTACAAATTAGTATCTTTGGTCTGTGGTAGTATCAAAGACGTATCTTTTGTCTGTACGTAGAACCCCAAAAAAACCTACCTGTCTCCCTGCTCTTGAATGGTCACATAAATCCTCAAAAGAAAACCTTGAAGGGTTGTTTGGGTTGGTGGAATCTGAGGGTTATTTTATGGAATTATATTTCTTGGTGTTTGTCATCATTTAAGTGAATTTGAGATCTTTAGAAGGGGTAATCTTTTTGAGATACTACTATTGAGAAGCTTTGAGATTATTGAAATGGGTAGTGGAATTGGTATCTACTTTGGGTTGATAGAAGCAATTTAGATATAGATGTTTTGAAAAACCTGAATGTTGGTGATTCCAGTTCCGGATTGCTATGAGCAGTAAGGAGAGATTTCATGGCTGTTTTAATTTCCTATTAACCCCAACGATATGAAGTTTGTGTGACATCTTATTGTCGTTTCCTTGAGCAACAATTACTTCTCTGGTGGTGTTTCAAGTGAGCTCGAAATTTTAGACCTGTCTTCTAATCTGATTAACGGGTCGTTGCCACCAGATTTCGGTAGTGGAGTTAGCCTCTGTTGCTTGAACCTCTCGTACAATATGATAAGGGACATTTTAGTCATCTAGTACAACTATCGACATGTGGACATTATTGATAATACAGCGTCTAACTCAACAAGACAGTTCAACAAATCAATACGCGACAACCAATATCAGGTATGCGGCCGAGCTAGGGCGAATTTGGCCCATTGACAACACCAACACGTGACAATCAACGTTGCCTGATAGCATCTGAACTTCAGATAACTATAAAAAATCCTAGGATTACTCTGAAAGGGATGTGCACAGAAGTTCTTGAATTCTCTCACACATTTTCACTAAAATCTCCTTAATGACTTAAACATCAGAGTGTCCTCCTAGGTAAAACCTACCCAAGCATTCTAATTCTTTTCTTTTTATAGTCTTTTTCAATTCGGACTTACAATTACCAGCTCGGCAGTACAGCTCAGCATTGCCAAATCAAAACTTAGTTCGGGCCTAGTCACTAACACTAGCGCATCATCACAATAGACTCATGGGAAGGAACCCAATGGAATTTGGGAAGCAAATCCCGGCGAATGTCACACTTGACCTCTCGTTCAACAATTTGGCAGAAGAAATCCCGGAAACTTTTCTCAATCAGAAAACAGAATCGTTAGTTGGCAACCTGGATCTATATGCAGGAAACCACTGAAAAACCCTGTGTCTTTACTTCTGTGCATTCTTTCTACTACACCTAGTGTCCTTGAAATTACTTCTGCACTTACAGCTATTCCGAACACCATAGACTTGACCCTTGTAACTGGGTCTTCTGGAACGGCCAATGGAACTCAATCGCAAAGGCAAAGCGATTTCAGATCAGGAACAATAGCAAGCATCATGTTTGGAGATTTGGCTGGCATCAAAGTTTGGCTATGATATTCTGTTATGTTTATCAAACAAGGAAGAGAATGAAGAAGGCGGTCAGTACAAGAAGAATAGAAAAGAAAGACGAACGGGATGGCAGCGGAGGAAACACGATGAATAGTATAAGGGTAATTTGGACATTTAAAAAATTCAAATAGCAGGATGATAATTTTTTCAAAGATAACGAACGAAATACTAAACAAGGGGACTTTGTCTAACGGCCAAAATTTAAAAAGGTCTTTTTGTAAAAAAAATGCAAGGTCTTCATCACTGACCCATAGTATAAGGGGTCCTTCCGTCCTTGTAATTTAACCTAATAATAGAGGTGGTGCTTCCAAATGAATTAGAGGCTCAGTCTGAATAAGCTTCTCTTTTTGGAAAAAAAAATATACAATTACATGAGGAATGAATAGATTTTTTACCTTTCATTCCAAACAAACTTGTACCAATGCGTCATTTTGTTTTTCCTTTTTTTTTTTTTTTGTCTTTGGGATCTTGACGTTATATTAATTTCGAACATCAAATCAGGAGGAATGGCTATGGCAAATGCCAAAAATTATTAATCTTTCACATTTATGATCACTCCAAAACCGGGTTCAACTATGATATAGAAAAGATATGATATCTGAAAGACTTCTCATCAGTTAATTGAAATCAAAAGTGTGGTAGCCAATTAGGTATTATTTATCAAAATTCACGGATGGATTTTGATTGATCAAAACTCTTTCCATACCATATTTTTTCCACATCATAGATTTTCCCTCCTAACCCAGATATTTCTATATATCCCATTTAACATTATTTGAATAAACCATTCCTTCATATTTAATCAAACTTCTAGACTGGATACAATATATAAGCAAATGTAGAATTAAAAAGGACTAGATCAGCAATGATTATGATTTATTAATTTATCTTTGAAACCTTAACAGTAGAAGCTGAGAGTAATTTCCTTGGAAATTATTTTCACGGTTTAAAAGGGTAAGGTAGCGAGTGGTTATTTTGGACAGTTGTCATCAAGTTAGTAGGAAGGGTAGCAGAATGTGGTTAGTAGGAGATTCAGATTGGCTGGCAGGAGATGGGCTATGAGAGTTTTGCTAATTTATTTGTGATATCCATGGTTTTGTACATGTATTTTTATAAAAATAAATAAATAATATAAAATATTACAAAAATACAATATAAACATATTTAGACCGAATTCTTATAGATTCCTATATAGTTGGGATAAGACATGAATGATAATAATAATGATGAAGAACTTCAACACCTATAGCAACAGTCAGTCTGGTTGTCGGTATAACCCATAAAGGGATAGACCGATGAATGTTTTGGTTTTACCAACAACCTTTATCCATTGGTATATGTACATTTTGTTGTAGGAGTATAATTTTCATGTACTTGATAAGAGTGTTCACACATCGGTCAGTTCGGTTGCAAGCATTTTGGCTAATCAAATTGACCTCTCAGATTGGTAAACAGGTAACTGAAACCATCTGATCATAAGGGAAAACTAACCTAACCATGAAGGAACTGTTTGCGTCAGTTTCTCGGTTTGATCAAGTCAGTCTATGAGTTGCATGAAAATTGGATAGATATATAGAGAGAAGAAGAAGAAGAAGGACTTTGGGCTCCAAACTTATTGTGGCCTTTTCTCACGGTGGTAAAGTTGTTTGGCTGATTGCATTGGTCATTGATATATTTTTGAAAATATCACAAGTGTAACCTCATAACCCCAATAGATTGTATTAAAAAGAAAGGGGCACTTTTGTAATTGAAATTCAAGGTTTTAGTTATGTACTCGTGTTAATTCTCATGTTCACTATACAAAGCAAAAAAGGACAAAGAATATGGGTGGGGAGTTGTGACGCATTGAATGCCTTAAAGCATCTAACGAGAAGTCAACACTTGTATCCTAGCTTGGGAGGTTGAAAGTGAATGCAAATGTGAAATTTTTTTTGGATTAAATTTGCCCTTTATTTATTTGTTTGATAAAGGGTATAAAAGTCACTTTATTATAATTTTAATTTCAATTTTAATGGCTACTAAAATCCCTATATTTGTGTATTTAATTCATTTTTAATTATAGGGGTTAAAAATGTAACTTCAATTATTATTTTCCATCTTTTTTTAATTCTCACTCATTAAGTCTTATACTTAAGGTACTAAATCTTATTATCTCTTGTTAAATCCTATATTTTTAAGTTGTTTTCACTATTAAATGTTACTAATTAGATCTATGTCAATATTTTCAACAATATAAACCAATATATTTTAAAACTGACTCAAAAACAAATTTGATGTAGCGCGATCCGGGCACTCCTAGCTGACTGCTGACTGCTGACTGGCTCCTTGTTGGCAACGGACGGCACCTGAGAAGATGAAAGGAAGGATCCCCGGGGGTTTACTCGGTGGGAATACTCCGATGCTTAAGTTAGTATTGTGTATGGGAAGTAAAGAGAAAACGAAGGCTAAGAGTGGAGGTCACACTTTATCACTATATTCGAGCGCTTAGAGGTTTTTCCTGAAGAAATTTCTCCTCTACCCGGAAGGCTTTTATAGGGGCGCTCTTATGAGATTGGGTATAACCACCACTGGGCCCCTGCCACAGCCGTTACCTGCCAGGGCTGCGCAGGTGGCCGTTGTGACGTACTCCTTGCCCGGGGAAGTGACACGTCTCCAAAGTGACAGGCACGCCTCCGCCTGCAGAGAGACGTGGGCACAGACTGTCGAAAGGACAGGGGTTGTGCCGTCAGCTAGGGACGTGGCACAATCTGACTAGTACGGCCCGTTAAATAGAAACTTCCTGAGGAATGCTCGTGTGGCCCATTCGTGAACTACTTTGCAGCGAGCTTGGAATACTTCAGGAGTACCCTTACTAGAATTAGTCATCGGGACGACTTGTCTATTTGAGAGCTCGGGCGAGCTGGTTTTCTTAGCTCACAAGTTAAAGTTGCCTCGAAATATCCCTTTCGAGGTAGCTCGGGGAACCCGGAGCTCGCGTTGTGGCG